TTTGGTCGCCATGAAGTATATATGTACTTGGTCTCCATGAAGTATGTGTGTATTTGGTCTACATGAATTATATATGTATTTTGTCTGCATGAAGTATATATGTATTTAGTCTCCATGAAGTATATACGTATTTGGTCTCCATGAGGTATATGTGTATTTGGTTTACATGAAGTATATATGTAATTGGTATCCATGAAGTATATGGGTATTTGGTCTCCATGAGGTATATGTGTATTTGGTCCACATGAAGTATATATGTACTTGGTCTCCATGAAGTATATATGTATTTGGTCTCCATGAAGTATACGTGTATTTGGTCCTCATGAAGTATTTATGTATTTGGTCTCCATGAAGTATATGTGTATTTGGTCTACATGAAGTATATATGTATTTGGTCTCCATGAAGTATATATGTATTTGGTCTCCATGAAGTAAATATGTAATTGGTATCCATGAAGTATATGTGTATTTGGTCTTCATGAAGTATATATGTATTTGGTCTTCATGAAGTTTATATGTATTTGGTCTCCATGAAGTATATGTGTATTTGGTCTCCATGAAGTATATATGTATTTGGTCTCCATGAAGTATATATGTATTTGGTCTCCATGAAGTATATATGTATTTGGTCTCCATGAAGTATATATGTAATTGGTATCCATGAAGTATATATGTATTTGGTCTCCATGAAGTATATATGTATTTGGTCTCCATGAAGTATATATGTATTTGGTCTACATGAAGTATATATGTATTTGGTCTACATGAAGTATATATGTATTTGGTCTACATGAAGTATATATGTATTTGGTCTACATGAAGTATATATGTATTTGGTCTACATGAAGTATATATGTATTTGGTCTACATGAAGTATATATGTATTTGGTCTACATGAAGTATATATGTATTTGGTCTACATGAAGTATATATGTATTTGGTCTACATGAAGTATATATGTATTTGGTCTACATGAAGTATATATGTATTTGGTCTACATGAAGTATATATGTATTTGGTCTACATGAAGTATATATGTATTTGGTCTACATGAAGTATATATGTATTTGGTCTACATGAAGTATATATGTATTTGGTGTACGTGTAGTTTTCGTCTTTCATTAGAAAGGAAGATCTTTTTGAACGCTCCAAAACGGTAAGTCTGTCACCGAATCACTTTTCTATTCAGTATGACTTACTTTGCATTACAACATTCACACGTGTCTCTGAAGAACAAACAGCTGTTCCCATATTAAGAACATTTATTTGTCTTAAAAACAAAATGACTGGTTAAAAATTGTATTTTTAATATATTAATGTAGATGAAAGATACGATAAACGTTTGTGTTTATGTTTTTTCATCACCAAGGCTAGGCACTGAAGCTATATAATTCACCTTTGTTTACAAATCATAAATAACACAAAGCGAAACGCAGATGTATGAGCATGTTAAAGAAATTATAATTGATTTTGTTAAAACAAAGGACGTCACCAAAAGTGGTAACAGATGTCCATATTTGAATACTTCGAGCTTGTTTATATATTGCTTCATCGAATTTTACAGAAACTTAGAAATGACTAATGTATAAAGATGACAGTTTTTTTATTGTTTGATTTATTTGATTAACGTCCTATAAACAGCTAAGGTTATATAAGGACGTACTTACCTTTTTATATGACCTTAACTTTTAAAGACATTAAACCCAATTAACCAAACCAAACATAATCTTAGATTAGTGTCTTTCTCATTAAACAGCAGTTTTTAATTAATTCGATCACGGATATCTAAGTCCGTGATTCGATGAACCTTTTTTTAATAGACTCGCAGTTTATGTAAACTGTGGCCACTTTTAGGGGACGTGATTGTCTATTTGCTGTGTAATATTTAACGAATCATTATTTCTTTCTGTACTGAAAAGAAATTATTTTGATTTGTGTAAGTCAATTTTAGGCAAAAGGTCATACGAGAGTTTTAAATTTAAAAACAAATGTATCAATGGCCTAATATATAGTTGTTTCTCATCAGAATCCTCGCATGTTTCAGACCGATCTCCGTCAACGCCACTTGAGTGTCCTGTTATTGTTATTGATTAATATGCATTTATATACCAGTTAACGTTTTGTTCATGAAAACATGTCATACATTTATAATTCCAAATTTGATTTAGTGTTTTGTTACAAGTTCTGTGAATGGGCAATACTAGCAAATGTGACCAACAAGATTACATTGTCGTTCGAGTTGTCTCCCATTGCATAAACCAAAACTCGATGTGGAAATAACAGCTAGATAAACTGCTGCTGATTATTTTTTATTATTGTATTTTTGTCTTATTCTTTGCTATTATAAGGATAAAAGTTTAAAAAATGAATAAGTTTAAACTACAGTTGACCATATTCACAGCAGTGACACGATCTGTCGTCTGACGTATCTACGATATCAATCTGACAAAGCTCAAACTAACAAGGTTTATGGGTCTGCACATATTGATCCAAATAAAGGCGATATAAGGTATTTTAATCATCAACTGAGATGAATTAACTTCCACATAATTATATCCATGAATTTCCACCAACACTCAAACTACGGCCGCTCTTGTGGTTTAATTTCCCTCAAATTCGTTTATTCGACAAATTTCTTATCAGTGCTCAGAAACTTGACATGCAATGCTACCAGTCTATGGTTCCCTTTTCAGAGTCGTCATTTTGGTGTTAAACTCACTGTTTGGAAATTTTGGTAAACTTTGAGCTATGGTGGATTGCTATGCGTATAACTCAATAGCTGTGATCCGCTAGTGCGCGCGTGCCACCGTGTGCTGTCATGAAGCTTTATCGGAATCATGAGTCTAAGAATAGATTATTGTAAGCAAGCGATTTTAAGGCCATGGCTATTAATACATGCGTTTCACGATAATCACTCAACAAAATGCTTATTTCGCGTTATTTATATAGATTTAAAACAAAGCATATGCTGTATGTAACACAAGATCGTGGATTTAATTTTCATTACTACCGTCTGCGTCATGCCGTTACCTGTTTTCTTTAACAGCACAGATATTGGTTTTGTTCTTCCTGCACCTATGGTTGGCAAAAGTACATATTATTTTCGAATATCGCGTCTTACACATGTATTGCGCTCCATACTTTGTGCTTCAGTCTTCCTGCATTTCAAACAAATGAGACTGTCCTCGACGATGAATATTCCCGCATTTTCGGTAATAAATCTGCGATAATAACAGGTGGGGTTTTTTCTTGCTTGACCTTTTTTTATATTGACGCAAAGATTCCACATATTTTGTATTTCGGCATCAGTTGTTTGTGTTTAAATAATAAATAATGATACTAGAGCCAATTGGAGGGTAAAACAATTCATAAATATCATTTAAAATGATGTCTTATCTTCAAAGCGTAGCCGTACGGTATACGTGTACAGGGATTTCTTGACATGATTCCATAGAAAATGTATCAATATGTATGTTATTAAAATATCAATAAAATTTTCCAATGATTTGAAAAATATTTCATTACTTAATTCAGGAAAATATAACATGCCTTAATATTAAAAAAAGGTGAATCTGAACGTGGATTCGGACATGCAAACGTGCACTACTACTGATCACAAGTAAATTGCGTTACACATTCGGCTACATCGGACATAGACGATAATAGAAATAATCCAAGAAACATCTGTTGCAGTTTTTGAAAAACTTGATCAACCATGTTGTTTTTTTTTATTATTTTGAGCACTTTCCCAAAGAAGGACAACTTTTCCGTCATACGATTTGTTTTTGCATGTTAAATCACGGAATCAAAAAATTTAATTCAAAAGTTGGTCCTTGGATGGGAAAGTGTTGAAAGTATTTTTTTGAAGTCTGGGAAACCCAATCACTTTCACAGATATAATGAATATGGCTATATTTGCAGTATTATATAAGCAATACCTTATATCCCAGCAATTCAAATATGTATATTCAATTGGTTTGATATCTATCCATGCATTTTCGCTAATAGAAATTATTTATCTTTTTTTCTTCTTCCGTTTTCATAAATGCCGACCTATGGAAATATGGGGCAGTTTTCTGCCATAGCTCTTTGATATGGCTGGTTACCCTCTCCATAATGTCATATTCAGCATTAACTGATTCCTCCAAACTCATATTAATTCACAATCTGACGCTTATTGTTGTTCTTGATCTCGCCTTTTCCTGCTACAGTCGTTGGACTTGTGACGTCACAGCCGATAGGGTCCCATTCACAGCGAGTTACGATCAAGCTACATTGTATAATAAGTAGTAGAATCGTACACTTTACACGTCAATATCTCGGGATATAGAATAATACTATATCCATTTCTATTTTCGTTCCGAGTACACCTAAGGTTGAGACGTTGTGACGGTAATCAGAGAAAAAATGGAACAGCTAGCAGGTGACTGTGTGTGTCTTTCTATTTTATGCAAGATTGACATCAAGTCAACAATGAATTCAAAATGTGAGACTGTTGTCACAAATCGATAAGAGATGTGTGTTTTTCATCAAGACTGATCTTTGGTGCTTGAACAATTTACTCAGTATTTCAATCATAACAAATCTTTAGCGCAGAATGAACGAGTATGTTAAAGACATTGTATTGCTTATCTACAAAAAAACGCATCGTCTTATAAATAAAGTGGTCATAGTTTGTCTCTATAGGAATACCGCGAGACCCAGTGTGATGTTGAACAGAAAGAATAGCCCATTTATTGAAAAGGAGATTATTTTATCGATGTTTGACGGATAAGACAAAGAAATGTGATACGATGTCCTTTCTCAACCAGACAGATGTGTTTGTTATGAATAAACCTACGTAAAGTAATACATCGAAAAGAAAATGAATCAATGGACAGCTGTTAACAATTGGTGTTTCCTTCATCAAAAGATGTCGGATATATGCGAATAGACAACTCGCGAATGCATGCACATTTGATTCTATGATCCAATCAATCATTGAATGTAAACCTCAGGACTCTCACGGAGACACCAGGTGACTGAGTTTAGTGTTTTCATCACTTACACCAAATGGACGTATTTCTTATAGACACCATTCACATTAAGTTGTACGTAACATAAATAGTTTATTGAATAATTTTGATTTGATGAAGTGCTGAGTGAGCTTTAAAAAATTTAATGATGAGGAAAATTCAATCTATGTTTTTTTTACCTTTAACTGCATGTGTACTTATTATCATCGCAACAATTCAAATAGTGGCAAACAACAACTCCTACAAATTAGAAACCAATTTGTACCGTCTCCAAGGACAACCACTCCGCTTGTTACGCAGTACGGACGGTCTTCAATTAGAAAACCCTGTAGAAAAAGATGTCTCGCAGGGTGACGAAGGAAATCAGTTTCACAACAATTCGTTTCGCAGTAATTTTCACCAACAAACGACCGAAAGATTAAATATTAAGACCGTGATAGCAAATGGTACAATATCAGGCGCCAATCAAACGGACTACCCGCTAGGTATCAAGGTTGGGACACTAGTAAAGGTTGTCAGAGAAAACGGAACAGCAGGTAAGAACACATGGTTAGAATTGATATTAAATGTGTTCACATAGCTATTGGTTTTCATCATATTAAGCAAACCATTTTTGTTTAAATTAGAGATTACCGAAACGCAGAGGTTGAACACATTATTCTTTTTGATATTTTTATGTTATGTTAAATATTAAAACATGACATTTAAGTATTACATGACTTCGCTTAGATCTTGTTATTTACTCCATGAAAAGTGTATGTGTTTGTACAATTCCGTTCAATAGATTAGGTAAAAACAATTATGAACAAGTTACTTTTGAATACCAACTAAATTATACGTTATAATATTGTAGTCCAAATCAACTTTTTTCTCCTTAGAATCTTGGTCAAACATTTCGTATGATGCATTAGAAAGCCATTGAATAAAACAATGTTTTGTACCAAAATATAAACAGACATAAATTGTATTTGATTTTTTTTTTTTTTTTTTTTTTTGGTAATGCCTGTCNTGGTAATGCCTGTCACATTGTTGTAACCCTTTAAGCGATAATAGTTTACACACTACAAACAGGAAATCATAATTTTTGGTGAATATCAAAAAATGGATTTGAGTTTTCAAGTTTGTTGGTGAACCATATCAAAATAAATAAATAACAACCCTATATTCTTTTAGAATTCAAGACAATGTTGCTATTTGATTAACATTTCCAATACCTTTGCGACACAGTATAGCACCTTGCTTTACGTCACTCATATAATCCCAGATATTGTATATTCCAGAGGTTGAGCAAAGAGTCGGTAACAAATATCGTCTACTTAAAAGAGTTGGAGGTGGAGGTTTTGGCCATATCTTCCTTGGTACCGACATGACAAGCGGAGAAAAGGTTGCTGTCAAAGTCGACCGTTTCGAGAAGATAAACTCGACTGTGAGTAAAGAAAGCATTATTTACCGCATACTTCAGAGCGGGGAAGGTTTCCCGAAGGTCAGGTGGAGCGGGAGAGAGGGAAGCTACAATGTCATGGTAATTGATCTTCTAGGACCAAGTCTTCAGAAATGCTTTGACCTCTGCAATTATAAATTCAGTTTAAAGACAGTTTTGCTCCTTGCAGATCAGATGATAAGTAGACTGGAATATTTGCATTTTAAAGGTTTCGTCCACAGGGATATTTCTCCAGTAAATTTTCTGGTCGGGTTAGGTGATATGAGTCACGTGGTCTACAGCATTGACTTTGGTTTGTCAAAACCTTATCGAGATGCATACACAGGCCGACACTGGCCGTACCGCCGTACTGGATTCGCTGGAACACAGTTATATTCAAGCATCAGCGCACAGAAAGGCTATCAGCAGAGTCGGAGAGAGAAACAGAATCTGTGGGCTATGTTTTATTACATTTTCTACTTGGGCGATTACCCTGGCAGGGGATTAAAGTTTCCAAATCAAAGCGTCGCACTACAACTTTCCAGATGAAACAAAATACAACAATAGACAGTCTATGTAAGGGTCTTCCAGCGGAATTCTCCAAATATGTCGCAATTAGTCGATCCCTTAAGTTTGAAGAGGAACCAGATTATTCTTACCTTCGAGGTCTGTTTAGAAATGTATTACAAAGACACAACTTCACATCAGATTATAAGTTTGACTGGGACGTTGTTAACGGTACCTGTCAAATGAGAAAGATACCTTAAGACTTTCAAACACATTATAAAATATGGAAAAGGATAAATGCTGATAAGTTTGTTTTGTTCACAAACAGTAACTGAAAACTTCTTTCGTCAGTTTTCGAAAACGTTTGGTTTGCAAATTAGAGAACAAGTAGATATTAAAAAACACCTTAAAAGCATAAAAGGTAATGACGTTATTTTTCGGGCGGAATGTTAAATAGTCTTATGTTAATAAATTAATGCAGAAGAATATCAATGTGTTTTGTAGTTTATAGATAGTGATGTTATACGTCCTTTATTTACAGTCGAGGATAAATTCTACCATTGAATCAATTTGTCAAAAAGGCTGAACATATATCTTAATATTGTCATGTGACCGATATTAATAATTTTTGCTTGTAATTGCTCATTAACAAAAATATTATAATAGCTTTGTGACCACATAGAATATCAAACGCGTGACAATCTAGTGTATTTGAATTATTTAGTACCGGTTATCTTCCAAAACATAAGCTGACATTTTGAGCAACGACTCTTTTATTTAGGGGACTTGTTGAACCTTAATATGATGATAATATCATTATTCAACTCAAAATCTACACAATCATAACAAACATCAGAGACTTAAACACGAGTTATTCAAGGAAAGTGTCGTGTATGTGTGACACGAGTCATACTGGTTCCTAGCATGCCATGCCTAGATCTGCTATTAACGTATACCGTTACCTTTCATTTGCGTATATTTTAAAATAGGTATTTCTATATTTCATCTGGTAATTGTTGAAACAAATTTTGTAGAACCAAAGCAACGGCACCAGTTTATTGATAATTCTGCCATGTTTAATTCAATGCTGCTTCACACGCTTTTTGAGTCTACTTGATACCAGCCACTAGGAATTCCAATTAATAAATGCCCGGTAAATTGACTTTGTGACGTCACTGGTGCTATATATATGAGAAATTAATTGCTTTTTAACATGTGTTATTTTGTTCGTGGGCGGCTGGTTAAAAAAAAACTCTAGGAAGGACATGCTAGTTGTACAATATAGGGAATATTCATATTCTGTATATATACCGTGTTCTCTGAACGCACGTATGTATGATATATAATATTTGTGTTTATATCAAAATAAACAGTGACAATGCGCCCCTAGCAGCTGTTCCATTGTCTTAACCATCTTCTTTAGAAGACTTTAACAGCTGGTTGAAAGGCTGTATTTAATGTGCAGTAATTCAAATTAATAATACGACGCATATAATGCAAAACATAAATAAAGACGGATCAATTATTTTGCATTGGTTCTGATGGCCTTGAAAAGGCGGGGTTTGCTACTATCAAATTGATTTATAGATGAAGTCAGATTTTCTATTTTAGCTTATCCACCGAAAAGCTCTTACTTACCGAGAGTTTTTGGGCACACTTCTTGGATGATGAAGACAAGTAATAAACTTTGTTTGTTACTCTTAACTGCATACTTATTCTTTACTATCAATTTACTGGGAATTATCCACAATATCATAGACAAATGTGATTCCGCGGACGAAGAATCAAATGCGTTTCAGAAGCGTTCATTTGATACAAATGGTACCCTACATCGTACGACAGGAAACACCAAATATGTACCAGAAGCCAATCACGTGTTGTTAGCTGCCAGTCAGACGGACTATCCTTTGGATATCAAGATCGGGACCCTGGTGAGGATGGTCGGAACCAACGGAACAACAGGTAACATCATGCTTACATTGACGATAGGGTTAGACGTCATTAAAATCACTAATATCTAACATCTACTCCGCAAGACAGTTGAAGCTAAAATATCAGTTACGTTAATTATAAATACAAAACCAGTCCAATCATTTTTCACATTTTTTTCTAAACACACTGCTTCCAAGCAGGCTAGTTATTATCCAAAATTTAAATGTTCGAGACTTTTTTATGGCGGATCCGACTATATCTATAGACTATAGACTACTACCATTATTTCGAATGTGAATTTCATAACGAGTTTAGTGCAAGCCAGCGTCAGACAATGGAAAAGTCAAGAACATGTTGATTTGAATCATTTTCAGAATGGGTTAAGACTATCAGGTCCATTTTTCCTAATATAAAAGCAGCTGAAAATGAAAACCAAACACAGGTCTGTTTTTCTTGACCCCAATGTCATAACACAACACTCAATGATTTGCATAATAATTTAGCGGATGTGTCGGAAGACAAGCTTCTTATACAATTGTATCTTGCCCGTTGTCTGTAAACATTATTTCTTTCTAGCAATTAAAAGTTGCCTTCATGGACAACCAAAAAACCCCTTCTTATTTATTTTCCACTTTTTCGAAAAATGACATACAAAATTATCATTTTTATGAAATTCATTTTTTTTCAAATCCTTGTTAAGGATATTAAAGAGGACCTGTTTCTTTTCTCTTAGACTTTTAAACTTCCAAAAAATCTTTAACAATAACTTTGTATTGCCGGCTCTGTATTTTTCTCTTTCCATGCTCCTTATTTATTATTTTGTTTTTTTCTAAAGGAACAAAAGTGGATGTTTCTCACACAAGTTGCGAGAGAAGAACCATGTTTTATAATGATAACATTTTTTTCAATTCCTTTCGAAACTTCAGTGTGCACAAATGTCATCATTGTTTACAACACATCATAATTGATGAAATATCACTAATATATCAACTATGTGATCCTTTCTCTGCTAAAATGCTATCGCTTTGATACAGAGACAAATTTTCATTATTTCTTCTGAAATGAGTGACAATTAGCTTTTATAACGGTTGGATTTGTTTTGTTTTGTTTTGTTTAACGTCCTATCAACAGCTAAGATTATTTAAGGACGAATTACATGTATATTTTAAATAATCTCAAATTCTCAAAAAAACAAATGTAAAATAGAAACTTGCTATAAAAATGCTATTGACAGTCTGGATTAATGTAATTACTTTAAGGTAAATATGATAAAATTAATATTTTCCTTTTTCAGAAGTTCAGCAGATAGTGGGAGGCAAATACATTCTCCGTAAAAGGATCGGTCAAGGAGGCTTCGGACACATCTTCCTTGGTACCGACATGACAAACGGAGAAAAGGTTGCTGTCAAAGTCGACCGTTTCGAGGAGATAAACCCGACCGTGAGTAAAGAGGTCAATATTTACCGCGTTCTTCAGGGCGGGGAAGGTTTCCCGACCGTCAGATGGAGCGGGAGAGAGGGGAACTACAATGTCTTAGTGATGGATTTATTAGGAGAAAATTTACAAAAATACTTTGAGCACTGTAGGTATAAATTCAGTTTAAAGACAGCTTCAATTCTAGCTGATCAGATAATAAGTCGACTCGAATACTTGCATTATAAAGGTTTTATCCATAGGGATGTAACGCCAGTCAATTTTGTCGTTGGATTGGGTAATAAAAGGAATATGATATACGCCATTGACGTCGGTTTGTCCGAGCGTTATCGAGATCCAAACACAGACAGACACTTACCATACCGATATGTCGGTTTTGCAGGCACAGACAGATATTGTAGTCTGAGCGCACATGAAGGTTATCAGCAAAGTCGGCGAGACGACATGGAATCATTAGGCTATATGCTTGTTTATTTCCTAAAAGGCAAATTACCCTGGCAGGAGGTAAACTCGAAAGTCAACGGCACAATGCTCGCAAAAACGCTCCAAATAAAGCAATCTACAACACTAGACGATCTGTGTGAAGGACTTCCAGTGGAATACTCACAGTATTTAAATATTTCTCGATCATTGCAATTTGAAGAGAAACCAGACTACTCTCGTCTTCGAAGCATTTTTAGAAATGCGTTTCAAAGACAAAACCTCCTTTCAAATTATATGTTTGACTGGAATGTTGAAAATGGAATTTGTGAAATCAACGATGAAAATAAGAACAATGGAAAATAACACATGTGTACATTTCCGTTCATATAGTCCTTCAGGTACATGTACTATGGTAGCAGTATACAGTAGAGGGTTGTGGCAATAGGTGATATTTTTGTTAAATGGCTAACCCCTGTATAATGATATGTAAAAAAAATATAAAAATAAAACTGTACTAAAATTGGCATAAGCATGATGCAGTGGGCTATGTGAGCTTCACATTTGTAAAAAGAAAGAAGATTTTTTTGGTTCGAGAATAAAACAGGAGGTAAAATTTTGAAAACAGCACACGACGCAAAATTGTAAAAAAATCAAGTTTTACAACTTTACTGGGACCCAGATAATTCCGAACCAGTTAGGTAATCTTTAATTTCAGACATTTCAGCCTATCATTTGCTGGGTCATATTTCAGGCTATACTAATTTCTGTTCTGATTTATGGACAACAATAAGGTTGTGTAATTGAATATTGTAAAGGTGTTCTTGAAAATTGGAAAAAAGGCCAACATCTTCCGCAAAATGGCTGCTGCAGACTGGCTTCTGATCAGTCGAAATGTATGCACTGTCCAATATCCCTATGTAAAAGTGTGCAATGTCACTACGAACACTACTGCGATCTGCGGTTGTTGTGGGTTTTTTTGACAAGATGTCCATGTTAGGTCGGGTAGGTCGGTATTTAGATATTGACCGATGTTATAGATTTGGTATGCAGATGTATTATGTAGGGTTGCTAACGGTTAGCCGGTTAACCGGTTACTCGGCCGAAAGACCACGAACCGCTTACCGGAATCCTTGACCGAATAGTCGGACATTTACTTACCCCTTTTGGGAGCCCCATGTTTTCCTGACTTAGACCTACAATTATTTTGTAAAGATGCGACTAAAATCGGATAGTTTTGTAAAAAAAAAAGTGTTCAGGGATTACATATTAGTGTTAATTTTGTACTCTTTTGTAAATACTGACAAAGAGATGTCGCAAACACCATAAAATCAGATTTTAAAAGGAAGTCAGAATACAAAATTGTGAAATGTCAACTTTTAGAGATAGAACGCTCATTTACATGCGAAAAGTAAAGATAATCTGAAGAATACACACTTAAAGCAATCTTGTCTTAAAACGTTTGTTAAGCAAATATTGTTCTAAAGAACAATATTACCGCATATGATTTCGTGTACAGATAACTGTAATTGAATCCGTCTTACTGCATTCCAACATGCTTTGTCCATAAAATATACTTACTGACGTTACATGCAACTATTTCCTTCGTTTAGCTTGAAATACACGAGTAAACTATCATGCTAATTAATATATACATGTATGTTTGTGGTGTTAATACGTTTTAGATAG